CACCATGGAAATCCAGGAAATCATCAGAGACCACTTTGAGAGCCTATACTCTAATAAATTTGAAAATCTTGAAGAAATAGACAGATTTCTAGAAACTTACAACGACCCAAAACTGAACCAAGAGGATATTAATCACCTGAATAGACCTATAAAACAAAAAGTAATTGAAACTGCTATCAAGAGCCTCCCAAAAAAGAAAAATCCAGGACCTAATGGATTCACTGCTGAATTCTACCAGACATTTAAAGAAGAACTAATACCAAATCTCCTTAAACTGTTCCATGAAATAGAAAGGGAAGGAACACTGCCAAACTCATTTTATGAAGCCAATATTACTCTCATCCCAAAACCAGACAAAAACACCTCCAATTTCCTTAATGAATATCGACGCAAAAATCCTCAATAAAATAATGGCAAACTGAATCCAACAACACATCAGAAAGATCATACACCATGACCAAGTCAGCTTCATCCCAGGGATGCAAGGTTTAACACACACAAATCTATAAATGTAATACAGTATATCAATAGAAGCAAAGACAAAAACCACTTGACCATCTCAATAGATGCAGAAAAAACCTTTGAAAAGATTGTACCACTTAATGGTAAAAACTCTAAGAAAACTAGGAATAGAAGGAATATACCTCAACATGATAAAGGCTATATATGGCAAACCTACAGCCAACATCATACTTAACGGTGAAAAACTGAAACCATTTCCCCTAAAATCAGGAATGAGAGAAGGATGCCCACTATCCCTACTCCTATTCAACATAGTACTGGAATTTCTAGCCAGAGCAATTAGGCAAGAAGAAGAAATAAAAGGAATACAAATAGGTAAAGAAACTGTCAAATATCCTTATTTGCAGATGATATGATCTTATACCTTAAAGACCCAAAAAACTCTACCCAAAAACTCTTAGTCAACATAAACAGCTACAGTAAGGTGGCAGGATACAAAATCAACTTACAAAAATCATTAGCTTTTCTATGCAGCAACAACAAACAAACTGAGAAGGAATATATGGAAACAATTCCATTCACAATAGCCTCAAAAAAAATCAAATACCTAAGAGTAAATTTAACAAAGGATGTAATGACCTCTACAAGGAGAATTACAAACTCCTGAAGAAAGAGATCGAGGAAGACTACAGAAGATGGAAAGGTCTCCCATGCTCATGGATTAGTAGAATCAACATAGTAAAAATGGCTATACTACCGAAAACAATCTATATGTTTAATGCAATTCCCATCAAAATCCCAATGACTTTCATCACAGAGATTGAAAAATCTACCCTAAAGTTCATTTAGAAACACAAGAGACCATGAATAGCCAAGGCAATACTCAGCAAAAAGAGCAATGCTGGAGGTTTCACAACATCTGATTTCAAACTATATTACAAAGCAATAGCAATAAAAACAGCATGGTACCACCACAGAAACAGACATGAAGACCAGTGGAACAAAATAGAGGACCCGAATATGAATCCACACAACTATACCCAACTCATTTTTGACAAAGTTGCCAAAAATATATGATGGAGAAAAGACAGCCTCTTCAACAAATGTTGCTGGGAAAAGTGGCTGCCCATCTGCAAGAAACTGAAACTAGATCCATGTGTATCACCCTGTACTAGTATCAACTCAAAATGGATCAAGGACCTAAATATCAGACCTGAAACTCTGAAGTTACTACAGGAATGAGCAGAAAACACTCTGGAAGAAATAGGTATAGGCAAAGACTTCCTCAATAGAATCCCAGCAGCCCAGCAACTAAGAGAAAGGAAGAATAAATGGGACTTGATAAAATTAAAAAGCTTCTGCACAACAAAAGAAATGGTCTCTAAACTGAAGAGACCACACAGAGAGTGGGAGAAAGTATTTGCCAGCTACACATCAGACAAAGGACTGATAACCAGAATATAGGGAACTTAAGAAACTAAACTCTCCTAAAACCAATGAACCAATTAAGAAATGGGCAACTGAACTAAACAGAACTTTTTCAAAAGAAGAAACTCAAATGGCCAAAAAACACATGAAAAAATGCTCACCATCTCTAGCCATAAAGGAAACGCAAATTAAAACCACACTAAGATTCCACCTCACCCCTGTTAGAATAGCCATTATCAAAAACACCACCACCAAGTGTTGGCAAGGATGTGGGGAAAAAGGAACCCTAATCCACTGCTGGTAGGAATACAAGCTGGTGCAACCACTCTGGAAAAAAGTTTGGAGACTTCTTAAAAATCTAAACATAGACCTGCCATATGATCCAGCAATCCCATCCTAAGGATATACCCAAAGGAATGTGACACAGGTTAATCCAGAGGCACTTGCACATCCATGTTTATTGCAACACTATTCATAATAGCCAAGTTATGGAAACAACCAAGATGCCCCACTTCTGATGAATGGATCAAGAAAATGTGGTATTTGTACACAACGGAATTTTACTCAGCCATGAAGAAGAATGAAATCTTATTATTTGCAGGTAAATGGATGGAACTAGAGAACATCATTCTGAGCGAGGTCAGCCAGGCTCAGAAGACCAAAAATCATTTGTTCTCCCTCATATGCGGACTTTAGATCTAGGGCAAATGCAGCAATGTGGATGGATCACGTGACAAGGGGTGAGCACATACGGGAGTTGTAGGAATAGGTAGAAAACCCAAAACATGATAGCATTTGATGTCCCCACTCCAGAGGAACTAATTAGAAACTCTTTAAAACAACCAGAGTTTATTCATAGAGGAACAGGAACCAATGTAAAGATCATTAGAGATCGATTTATCAAACATGGGTTTGAACACATGGTACATGAGGCAATGCTAGGAATCTCCTCTGTGCAGCTGTCCTTAACTCAACTAGCAAAAACGCTTTGTTTTTCCTTCCCTTAATATGCTCTTATGTTTCTCTTCACACAAAAACTAGCAGTGATAAGAGCAGAAACAGGACCTGCCTGGAGACTGAGGGTGGAGAAGGGGGACGTAGGGTCGGCTGGCGGATCGCTTTCGGTGGAGAAATGACCCAAACAATGTATGTACATGTGAAAAAAATGAACAAAAAAATTTAAAAATTAAATAAACACATGTAATTTATATAATATAGATGTACATATTAGTTTTTTGTTTTATGAGGAAAGTTATGTAAGACTTGCCTTGTTTTAAAAATGAAAAATTTGACTTTTTCAGCATTGTGTAAAATTAACTATTGATAATTGACTAGTGACATTTTTTCAATGCTAAATACTTTATGAAAAAAGAATAAATGAAATCATATGGATGTTTAAAAAAAAAAATTACACTTAGTGAGACTTACTGCAACATCCTATGGCATTTTCTCTAAAGCAATGAATGAAAGTCTTTATCTTTTGATGGTATTGGGGTTTGAACTCAGGACTTCATGCTTGCTAGATAAGCACTCTCTACCACTTGTGCCATTACTGCCCCACCCAAGCCCTTTTTTACTTTACTTTGTTTCTACTTTGCAAAAACTCAAACTTTTGCCTGGGTCCTACCTCCACGTCCCAAATCCCTTTTGCAGGCATGCACCACCACATTGACCCATGGTTTGTTTTTGTTGTTGTTTGCACTGCTAGGGATCAAATCCAAGGCAAGTGTTACAGCACTGAGTGACATGTCCAGCCCTTAACTCTTCATTTGGGAGCAGTGGGTTTTATAGCATCCTTTCCCTCCAAGCATAAGATGCTACTGTACCATATAGAATATGCAAGTTTTCTTGATAGATGGTACCAAATTTTAAATTTTTTCTTTAATAAAGATTCAAGACTAGGAATATTTTCTCTTCATATTTAAATGCTGATGTATTTAACTAAAAGTATGGATTATAAGAAAAAATAAATGTGACTAATTAAAACACTATAATTCTGCAGAAATAAAAATAGATAACGCCCATCATAACTTCAATAGATGTTTCCCCATGATCAAAATCAAAGAAAACTGAGGTAATGCTAAACTTTGCCTTTAGTATTTCCTGGGTCTAGAACTTGTGTCACCTATACAACCAAAGCTATATCTAAATGGTAAATGAATGAAGCAATGGAAGCAATAGATATTTCTACACAAAGGCAAGGTTATCCTAAGAAACGGAGAGAAAGAAACTAAGTTATTTTACCAATATCCCTTGGGATGTGGCCTATGTGATTAGTAGGCTGGAGGAAACCCCCCCAAAATAGAAAGAATGGTTGTGTTTGTTTTGGGTCTTGAGGATTGAACCAAGAGTCTCCTGTATATTGAAGGAATGCATTTTATTAGAAAGGTATACATCTCAATTCCTACAGACATGCATTATAGACATAAAGAATAAAGCTTTGGGCAAAACATTTTCTCTTTCCTTCTACCAGAAAAAAATAGGGGTTTATTTAAAGCATAATTTTGATTAGTTACTATTTAAATTTTTCTTAATTTCATTAAGACCAGGAGTTTCCTTATTATTATGTTACTATTTAAATTTTTCTTAATTTCATTAAGACCAGGAGTTTCCTTATTATTATGGTCAGAAGGCAATGGGGGTAGAATTTGGTTTCCTTTAATATTTTAGCAAAGCCCCTATTTGGGCTCTGAGATAGCAAAAGTAGTGTGATTCCCACTTTATAGACTTTCCCAGTGGAATACTAATTTTTTGAGAATTTTTTTTAATTTAAGAAGAAAAATACTGTCAGAGCAACACAGAGCTTATATGAATAATTCATATTTCACAGATGTCACCGTCATTCCAAAAATTATCAATTCATATTATTTTTAAATACTTAAAGACAATGATACACTTATATCTGTCAAATGTTCAATTACATTAAAAGAGAGATTAAGATATGCCCAAAAAAGGAATTTAATTGCATGAATTAAGAAAATAATTTGACTAAAATAAATAAGCATTTATAATAAATGTATCTGCCCAGCAGCTAGCTGAACCCATTAAATCAACTTGGCAAAATCATTCAAGTTTGTTTGCTCGTTTGAGAGCAAGTCTGAGGGCAGTACCTGGGACTGGGCGTTGATGTTGGCTCCTTCCTTAACAAGAATCTTGACGACTTCCGCCTGTCCAGCCAAAGATGCTATGTGAAGAGCAGTGTTTCCTTTCTGTTTTGGAGAAACAATAGAAAATGTTACAAGTTTCCAAATTTTGTAGAAATTAAAATAGGCAGGCATTGTCAACTTTGTTGATGTTTCGACTGGTTAAAACTAATCATTTTCTTACGATAGTAGTCCACCTTGTAAGGGATTATTTTTAACCATCAAAAAATTGAGCATCTCACCTAGTGTCCCCTGGACTAATTTTCATAATACTGTCTACTGTTGAGAACACAGAAGACCAAGTTATTTTTTTTCAATAAATTTTTAATTAGGATATATTCATTATATTCATATATTCATTATACAGGGGGGATTTGTAGTGACAATTCTGATTAGACTTATATTGTACATTTTTTACATTGCCTCTATCATCTCTCCCCTTCAGCCCCTCCTCACCCCATACAGGTATATGAAGTCCATCAACCATATACTCTATCTTAATCTTCCTTCACCCTCCCCTCTCCTACTAGTACCCCCCACCCCTCCACACACAAGACTGAGTTCTTAATGAACCAAAACGCTGGGAATGTGTGGTCATGAATGTGTTTATGTGACAAGGGCTCATGGGATTTGGTCTACAACTAAAGCATTCTATTGCAAGAAAACATTGTTTTTAAAACTTTACTGAAACATTGAGTTTTATTTCACCTTGCCAAGAAAGCTAGGGATTTTTAGTGGCTGACACACAGTCTGTACTCACAAGTATGGTTCCAGCAACAAGTGCATGTGGTTGTAGGTCAAATACTTTTAGGAGCAGAAAAATAACTTTCCTATCAATCATAAACATTACCAAAGAGTTCCACCATTTGCTACATCAAAACCTATCACCTGCAACACATATCACCACCAAAAAAGGATGCAAGCATTTTGTGAAAAATAACATGTAGGCCAAGAGATTTAAAAATACTTGTGATAGGATGAAGATAAATAACAAAAAGAATAGAATGAAAAATAAACAGAAATCTGTAGATTCTAAGTTATAAAGTACAAATTCTACTCCTCTCTTGGCTACCAGCTTGTTCGTTAACCACACACTTAGTATTTGTGAGACTCAATTTCCTTCTTTGTAAAGGAGATGTTTTTTTTCTGGAAAACTCTACGACTCTGATCTGAGAGTTAAAGTAAACCTGTATTTTAAGACATCAATAGAGTTTAAAGGAAAAGAAAAATGGAAACAATAATAAATACTCAACTGATCCAAAAGCGGTTGATTTACTGTGAATATGTTCTGTGAGCTACATTCACATGGGTGACTCAAAAGTGGAAAATAGTCTGATCACATGCAAACTGATTTTCTTTGTAGATCTGTTCAACACTTACTCGACGTGCTCAAAAGAAACATTAACACAATGTTTCCTCTTTCTTTATGTTCAGAGTAAGGAACTTATGCCATAATGTGATCTAGTTTTTTTTTTTTTTTTTTGCAATCTAGTATTTTAACTTATTTGAAATTGCCAGAAAGATGTTTGCTTGTTTATTCTTTAAGTACCCACTGGAATTTCTTTTTATTATACTACAAGCAGGACCAAGTATACTTTGGTAGTTTTGCATGAGGTGTTGAAAATCCAGGCCTTATTTTTAATTTATTCTCAAATTCTTTTCCTGTCCACATTAATCTAATTTCAATTAAACTAATCTCCATTAGACAAATGCCTAGTCTAATGGAGATGCCTCAAGCATCTAACGTCAATCTCTATTTCTCTCACAGTCATTCAAAACCGGGCCTGCAGGTTTGGCTCTGATTGGCCACTGTATGCTTCCAAACGTACCAGTGACATTTTTTAAATGGCTGTTTATGAAGTGTATCTTCAACAAGTTCAAGTATATTTTAGCAAAAGTAGCATCAACAAGGGAGCAGTAGTTTCTAATAATACCTAGTACATTGCGTATATTTCCTTTCTCTCTCTCTCCTCTCTCTCTCTCTCTCTCTCTTTCTGCAGTACTTGTATTTAAACTCACAGCCTTCTGCATGCCAGGCAAGTGCCCTACTAGTTGGGCCATGCCCCCAGCCCCTATTGCTTTAGTTATTTGTCAGATAGGATCTTGCATTTTTCCTGAGCCTACCTTGGAACCATGATCCTCCTATCTCCACCTTCAATGTTGCTGAGATTATAAATGCTAACCACCACATCCAGCATGTTTGTTGAGATGGGGTATTGCCCTGCATGGCTTTGAACTGTGATCACCTCAATCTCTGCCTCTCAAGTAGTGGGATTACAGCATGTGCCAGCAGGCCTTGCCCCATGCGTTTCTTCAAAACAAGTCTAAGTTCTTTACAAACAAACATTATACTCATAAAATCTAATCTTACACTTAATAATTCAGCTTATAACCCCAGATCTCTTTTCCAAACCTCAAGCATAATGAATTTATTAAAAGATCTATCAATTTAACTGAAGATGAAAATTATTTGTTCATTTTCCACTGGGAAGTTTATAGTATCAATTTATTTTTGAAATGAATTGACCTTGGGAAAATAGATTCTTTTATATACAGAGGAGTATGTTAATCTAGTCTTCTCTTTGAATCAAAGGAGGAAAGGCAATATATTAGAAACTAGGCTTACAGATTTCTTGAGTCTCATGTCTAAGTCCTTAAATGAAACAACGCAACCTCTGCAAAGCTTAACAGAGTGGGTATCAGTTTTATTCCTGTCTGGTTAAGAATCGTGGTGTCCTAGCAACCTCTGTAATGAATAACTGGGAAAAGAAGCTGTAAGCGCCTTCCTCTGTCTAAGGAAAACAAGTTCTACCAGCACGAGCAGTACCTTAGTGGCAGAATCCACAGAGGACCCTCTTCCCAGCAGCTCCTGAACCAGCCCCACGTGGCCTTCCTTGGCAGCCAGATGGAGGGCGTTGAGGCCATTCTGGGAAAAGAAGAAGGAAGGCTCAGAGTTAGAGGAAAGAGGAGGAAGGCAGGAGTACAGATCTCATTCGCACATGTAAGCCCAAGAACACACAGACTCTGAGCGCTTTCTGTTGTTCCTTTTGCATTCGCTTGAATCTCTTCAGTTCAGACAGACTCATTTTCAGTGTTTTTGATGCAGAGAGACAAAAAAGGCAAATATTCATCAGAATATTTGAATTTGGCAACTTCACTTCAAAAAAACTTTTATTTCTTTAAGAAATATCTAAATACTTTTCCAATGGGGGAGAAAAGAGAGTGACTATCATTTATTGTGCTGGATAAAATTAAAAGTCTATCTGGTTTCTGGAATGAATAGAGATTGAACAAATCTTGCTTTTTAACAAATGGGAGAGAAATGTCCCTTTTATAAAGTTAATAAAAAGTCATAGGACAATTTTTAAGGTAACACACCTCTGCAATGACAACACTATTGTTAAAACACATTTCGCACTATGTCATAAATGGCCTTCTTCTTAAAAAATTAAAATTTATCTTATAATCTCTGATGAACTATAATATCTGGTTCCTATCTATCTAAATGCCTGGAAAATTACTTACCATAGCACTGAAAAACCTCATGTAGTCCATATTACCTATATGACCTACAGATTCAATGCAATCCTTATCAAAATACCAATGGAATTCTTCACAGAAATAAAAAAAAAGAAACTCTTAAAATTCATATGTAACTAAAAAAAGCCAAAGCAATCTTACAAAACCAGAGGCATCACACTACTTAACTTCAAAATATATTACAAAGTTATAGTAACCAAATTATCACAATACTGGCATAAAAACAGACACACTTATGGGAAATGTAGAGAGCCCAGAAATACATCAACACATTTACAGTCAACTGACTTCAATAAAGGTGCCAAGAATACACATTTGGGAAAGGACAGCTTTTTCAATAAGCTGTGCTGAGAAAATACAATATCCATACTCAGAAGATCTCTCACCAGCTACAACTCAAAATGGATAAAGACTTCAATAAATATAAGACCTGTAGCTATAAAAATACTAGAAGAAAACACAGGGCAAATGCTTCATGACATTGATCTAGGCAATGATCCTTGGATAAGACCCCAGATGCATAGTAAAAAACCAGAAATAGACAAATGGGATGACATCAAGCTAAAAAAAAAAAAAAAACTTCCGCACAACAAAAATTAAAAATCAACAGAGTGAAGTGACAAGCTACAAAATACAAACTGTACTTCCGGTGAGGAGTTAATACCTGAAATATATGAGGAACTCAATTCAATAGACAAAATGGGCAAACAACCTGTTAAACATATCTCAAAAGAAGACATCCAAATGGCCAGCAGATATATGAAAAAATGCTCAACATCACTAATTATCAGGAAAATGCAAATCAGAACTACAATGAGCTATTACCTCACTACAGTTCGAATAGCTATTATCAACTAGACAAAAATAACAAGTGTTGGTGAAAATGTGGAGAAAAAGGAACCCTTATATCTTGTGAGTGGGAATGTAAATTAGTACCGTCAGAATGGAAAACAGTATGGAGGTTCTTCAAAAACCTTCAGAAGTAGAATCACCAGCAGTCTCACTTCTGAGTGTCTATCCAAAGGCAATGAAATCCATATGCTGAAGAGATACATGCACTCTTGTGCTCATTGTGGTACTATCATAATAACTAGGAAGTCGAAACAATCTAAGTGGTCATCAATAGATGAATAAATAAAGAAAAACAATTTTGTGGCACAGGGGTCTGAACTTAGGGCTTCATGCTTGTGAGGCAGGTACTCTACCACTTAAGCCGTGCCTCTAGCCTTTTTTGATCTGGTTGTTCTGGAATTAGGATCTCACTATTTGCCCAGGCCGGCTTGGACCTCCATCTTCCTATTTTATGCTTCCAGCTGTTGCTGGGATGACAGGCATGCACTACCACACCCAGCGTTTTTATCTTGAGATGAGGTTTCAGAAACTTTTTTGCTAGGATTACAGACTTGAGCCACCAGCACCTGGCTTCCATTATCATTTGTAATAGCATGCTACACCTGGAGAATGTTACATTAAGTGAAATACACCAGGCACAGAAATGCAAATACCATCTCACTCATATAAGGAAACTGAAAAAGTTGATTTTATAAAAGTGGAGCATAGAATAACAGTTCCCAGAGGCTGGAGAGAGCAGGGGAGAGGGTAGGATGGAGACAGGTTGGTTAGTGTGTTCAGTACTACAGTTAGACAGGAGAAATAAGTTCCAGTGTTCTATTACACAGTGGGGTAGTGATAGTTAGCAAGAATGCACTGTGTATTTCAAAATAGCTAGAAGAGAGGATTTTGAATGTTCTTACACAAAGAAATGATAATTGTTTAAGGTGATGTATGTAATTACCTCATTTACTCATTATACAATGTAAGCATACATTGAAACATACTCTTCCCACAAATATGTATTTTGTTGCATCAAATAAAATAAAAAAAGAATAGAATCATATTACTTAGCAAGAAAAAATCATTTTAAATATCATTAAATATATTATTATAACTATATATATTAGACAGACATAAAATTTAAAGACACATCTTCCCATGGGTACAAGAAGAACCAAATATAAATACAAATTGTTCTATGGCATATTTCTTACAGGTAGTCACCATACATCCTTTACTTAGTGATTTGGGTATGGTAATTCAGGCTTTTATGTTTCATTAAAAATAAAATAATATTTGTTCTGTTTCTCATGCACATTTAACTTTAAATAGCTGATGAGGCTGAACTATCAAAACATGCATGTAGGGCTTTGGTACATTTACATGCATAAGTGGTAAGAAATAAAGGAGTTTTGATATTTATTTATATTATTATATTTCTAGAAAATATTACAAATCAGTTGGCAATATAATAAAAATTTGAAAAGATGGAGTTCACTACTTCTGAGTTCAACCAGTCTGCAAGTGATGCCAACTGTGTAAACTATGTACAGGTCACTCAGCAAATTTAAATTTGTTTACAGATCCAGTAGTTCAATACCCTGTCTCTCTGGCAATAGCAAGTAGTAAGAGATGCCAATAGATAGAATTTAAATCACAAACAGAAAACATACCCTAGGACAATTGCTGGAAAGCAGTGGCACCATAAGGTAGGAAAATTTCAAGGAGATAATTAAATCTGATGATGTTTAAGAGTTTTAGCTTCCCTGATGTCTTCTTATTCTACATATTCTTCTTCATAGCAGTTCATTGATTTTCCTAAGTTGTTTAAAGAATTTTTTCCCATGTATCATGTACCATTATGTAAATGTTTTGGAGTATGTGCCTGTTATTTCTATAAAAATCTAATGTTCCAATCACTAGGGATTGTCCAGGTGGCATAGAACATTGGTCTCAAGCATGATACACTGGCATCCTTGGAGATCACCTTCAGTGGGTGTTTTTAAAAAGAGAAGAAAAGGCTAGGGGGTGGTCTGGGGTGTAACTCAGAGGTAGAGTGTTTGCCTAGCTTGTGCGATGCCCTGGGTTTGATCCCTAGCACTGCAAAACAAAGAGTAGAACCTGAGACCTGGAAGGACCTCTGAGACTGAAGTAGACTTCAGTGATTTACCTCCTACTTAGCCCTGGCCTGTGACAGACTCCATCGGATAAATACTGTTAGTTGAATCAATAAATCGAAAGACAGCATCGAGGGAATACTTTGGTAAAGATATTATTTTTGTAAATAATTAAAATTATTTAATATATTTGAAATTAAAAGATAGTAGTCTCTATAGTGTATAAGATTTTTCATATCAGGGATTTTGTCCAAATAGGAGTAGATATCTGTGGTTCAGAGATACTTTTTTCCAGGTGTTTGAAGAGAAGCTTACTCTGCCAGAAGTTATCTTCTGTCTACAATCTGAGTCATCCTCTAAATTGAGAGGCAAACAGCTGGATTTTCTGAGTTGATCCACTCTTTATGAACTTTCTAAGACCAAAGGAATGAGAGGTCATTTCATTTTGTTTGAGCTTCTGCAATTCTGCATCTTTCAGTTTAAAAGACAGTCTTTTTGGTGAAAACTGATACATTATTAGCATTTTCCAATTAGGTCACTTTAACTTTTAAAAAGTTGTTTTGTTTGATACCACTGTTTCTTAAATGTTCGACATTGCCAGCCAAGGGAAGATGCGGGAGAGTTTCCCACCTTAAGTTCTCTGGAGTCCTTAGCTGTAGAAGACAGAACAGCGGCTTTCCTTATGCCCAGATTTTGGTTTGGGGATTTTTAGCCACAAAGAGATTTAATTAGAAAGAGGATTTATTGGATAATTGTTATCAGAAATAGCAACTTAGCATCATCTGGAATTAAAACAAGAAGTTCTATCCTATGAACATGAGCTAACATACAAATTATCATGAAAACAGACTGATCCCATTTCATGATGCAACTCAACTATTTCTCAAGAATGCATTTTTTGGCTAACCCATGCTGTTGAGTCCTACAGGTCACATTTCTGAAATACAAACATCCCACACTAATGCTTTTTTAGTATAGCACAGTCACTTGGTAATACTGGCCCACATTTAAGGGGATATTACGTTGTCAAATATTTTTACTTTGTCTGTTGAGGGAGTGGGAGAAAGATAGACATAGAGACCTGGGCAGCCCTTCATATTTGGGTGGAAATACAGCGCAGGTTCTAGTACCTTCCCAGTAACTATGCACACATGGCATCTGAGAAGCATAAGTCCTCTCCATACAGAAGCATAAAATGCTGTCAGTTTCTGCATCCATTACACCATTCAACATAAGTTTTCTGAGTTCTGGTCAAAGAGTCTTCTGAGACAGATTATATTTAAGAGAGACATCAACTATTCATTCCCTAGATTAAGATCAGGGTAGATATTCAGTTAGATCACCAGAAAATAATGTATCTGGAGCATGATATCTGTTCCCTACAGAGATGGCTTCACTGAATTATGAAATATTGCGGCACATTTGGTTTTTACAT